ATGAAGTGAGCAGTGAAAATTCTTGGAACAGGCAAAAACAGTATAAAAATTGAAATGAAAACTGGTAAAAAAAAGTTATTAAACATTGACGAGCAAATTATAAATTCATTTTCAAAACGAAACTGATTGGATCAGAATTAAGTGAAAATTGCGCAATGAAGTCAGTTATATGACATATTTGGATGACGAAGAAAAATGTTCATTGTAAAAAAGAAAACCATTTGCAAAACCACATTTGCATGAGCAGATTCATGGAAAATGACACGGCTTAATTAAGAATTAGTATCGGAGAGCTGATTTGATGAAATCGAATAGACTAATCCAAATCCAGTGAACAAATGAAGTATCGGAAAAAAGTGAAGTCGGAATCGATCATGCGAATAGAGACTATGAGAAGAGGAATGAGGCAATGTTTCGTTCATTCGAGCAATTCATGTTCCAGTGATTCAATTAGCAAAAGCCGAATCTATTCGCTTTCTCAGAATCATGATTAGTTTCGATTGGAACAGTAATACACTAAAGATGATTTTCGCGAGGGAAAAAATACGAAAAATATGCATTCCAATGTAAAACACTTGAAATATCAAAGCAAAGATAACAGAGGGGCATGATCTCATAAGAACTGTAACTGCTGCTTGAATAAGTAAATTGAATGAATTGAGAATTCTCAATTGCAATTCAGATGGACAAAAGTGTTTACAGATCGGTCGGATCATTTACATAGATAGGTAGATGCCTACGTACGGCATCCCGTGAATCTTCCATTCCGATACATTGGAAATTGTTCGTTCTAGTAGATTCGAAAAAATCATGTCATGCACTGAATTTCTTAATTCAAAACAAACTTGTCAGGTGTTACGTTAATCACATTCCAAAGAAATTATTTTCACCTCTTCTTAAAAGAAACTATCAAGGAAAGTGATATCACAGAGACGGAAAACGCTCAGGTATGTGAATCGAGTCAATCAAATGAGATGACTACTGACAAGTTTCGTGAGCGATTTTCATGAGTATCCTCAATAATAACGAGAAAGGGAATACGGAATAAATAGATCAAGATATTGATGAGGAATAAATTAAAAAATGCGTGAAAATTAAACGAAAAAACGCTGACTTCAATAACAAAGACATTTTTCGAACTGAAAATCATTTCAAGCATCACATGAAATCACACCACTTACGGATGGCTTCTGATTGCATTTTGTCCAGATTTTCACGATATGAAACATCGCTCGTCACATAACACTTATTCGAATATCCCATATCAACTGTTTTCTCGTTTAGCGCCTTACCGTTCGCTAGTTCCAGTTTCGCTTGAGCATCTTTGTCTTCCAGTGCTTGTAGCTTTTTTGAACCACGTAATGATGCTCTTAAATGAATCATCAATTACTTTCCATCAATTAATAGAATTGCTGTCTTGCACCCAAGAAGAGCAATGAAGTAATCAAAGCCACAACACACAAGTTGGTAAGATAACAAAAGCATTTCCTCCACAATATCCCCTCTTCCGGAAATCTGTTCCGAAATAAAAGCAAATATAATCCGGAAGTGAGCGTTTTTTGTTGACATTGGGAAGAACTCTCTAATATTTCTGTATCTTTTAAAAGATTCAATGACTGTAAAATAGGAAGAAGTTGGATAAATGAGGCCTTTGACATGAGAATATGCAAGTGGATACTAATCCGGAATGTCATCACATCAGAATTGGATCCAGTGAGAATATGATGAAGATATTCCAACGATTTGAATGCATTAGAAGAAGATATTCATTCGTCTTTCATCTGTCAATTGCATGATATCTGATGCATTAACTTGCTTGGGTGATAAGGAAGCAGTTGAATGCTTAACAAGGAAATATCTGCGAATGAGTTCAGAAGAATTGAAAGTGCGAGACCTCAAAAAGGCATCTTCTTTGGCTCGTTGTTCGTCCAGTTCTCGTCTCTTCTTCAAATCCTTCTCATATTGCTTCAACCGTTCCATTTGATCGCTAAGTGGCGCTGGTGCGCTCTCAAAACCATCCTCAACCGCCGCTCCACCGTTCGGCAACATCTTAAATTGAGCCATCTCAATCTCGATCAGCAACTAACACTTGGAAGATGGATCACCAATTTCAAATCTTATCTTAATTCGTTCAACCAAATGGATGGCCACTACATCTTCAACGTTATTGAAATGGAGTAATTCAGAACGAAATCATAAATCCAAACCATCCTCATGTCCTTCTTCTAGCAGTCGAGCAGAATCTTTTGCGAAATTTGACTCAGAAATTTTCTCCACTACAAGTTGTTGAATGACAGCCATTCAGTTGTTTCCATAACATGATTGGATGGACGGATGGACATTTCTCACAGAAAGTAATCAACACTGAGAACAATGGCAATCAACGGGCACAAATCAAATTTATTTGATACTGAAATCGAACGTTGCCATCGATATTTCAAGCCACAACAACGAGTGTGCCGAAACTACCTTCTGCTGAATAGCCGCCGGAGTCTGATTGGAGTTCTGAACTGCGTTAACGACTGGTTCTGGGATTCGATCGGATGGTTCGGCCGCAATTGTTTCCATATCATACGTTTTTATGCCCGGGTAGTTCCTTAAAATATCTGGCTCTAGAGACGATTATGAACGGAATCATTATGAGATTCATGGGAATATAGACTTTTACAAACACGCCCTGTATAAGTTAAGAACAATTTCTTAAATGACAATGTATAAGTGTTAGATGCTATCAACTATACAGATGATAACTAACAATTATGAAATAATAATGATTCATCAATTAAACTATCAATACCATTGATATGATAAATATTTGCACAACGGCTTGAGAACAAACCAAGTCAAACAGATAAAAATTGATGTTAGTGGTGCACATAAGAATTTATGCACATAAAACAGTTCAGTTGTACATTCTTCTGTTAGCAGTAATAAAACCCCCAAAAAAGTTTATTATCACTCTATTGCTGTTGACAGCAATGACTTTAGCATGTTGTCATATGGAAATGACTGATTGTCATTGATTCATGTTGAATACCTCGATTGACAATTACAAATGAATAATATTGCTCTCAAGTGGGCAATACGTTTGATTACATTTATCAAGCAGAAAGATATCAATGAATCGGTGTCATGCAATTCTATTGACAACTTTCGAATGAAAAGCGATCATTTTCAAAGATAAAATTATTTGCTCAAAAATTGTGAAAAAAAATTTTGCCACAATATTGACACTTATTCGCTGAATATACTAGTTGAGGAAATCACCTAGGCTTATGCAAATGCATTGCATCGAGTCTGCTTCATTAATTTTCAATCTAAACATGCTTTTTTGCATTGCGTGATAATTGAATCAAAACGCTACATTAGGCAATGAATATTTCCGTTACATGTCCTATTTACAATATAAGATAAATTTGCGATGATTAAAATTGAAATCGATGAGGATCACGTTTATGATCACAAACGGATTAATCGCATGATTCAGTCGAAGAGACTCGCCCAGCAAAAACATCTATCTTTTCCACACTCGAAAGATTTTCCTTTACATACTCTCCATATTCCACTCATAACATCTCATTTCCTCTTGATTCTAACTGATTGATCTTAAAGTCTCCATTGCAATATACCTCTTCATACAATCAAAATTTGTAATTTCAATTCGAATGCTGTTATATTCCCCTACTGAACCGTAAAAATTTCTCCACAAGAAATTCGATTCATGACAGATAAAAATTANTTGTATACAAAATAATTTTTCCACATTCGATATCAGACGAACTTAATTTTGGTGTTATTATGCGACACGTTCTCTCACATGATAATAGGATTATGTTCGTTCGTAACGAACTAACCAAAACAGGTAGGTCAGATTAAACGTTAACGACAATAAACATTTTGTGCCACAACAAGTTCCTTCAAGTTAAACAGATATGCGATTGAGTGGAGAAATCCCATTAAATGGCAGCAATTGCTACGCCCAAATTACTTCAAAACTTTTCAGCTTTAAGATTTTTCTGCACTCAATTCATTAAACAGCCACAACAACAACTCATGCGGAATCTGCTTTCCTATGTGACATGGCAAAAAAACTTATAGA